GTGGTATTCGTGAAAATTTCAGGACTGATTCGCGGAATGGAGGAAACCCTTCAACTACTGATTTTATTATATGTGTTCCAACTGGTTCCAATAACTCAAGTTGTTGGAAGATGTTTAATTGTACACCATATATCATTTACTAGCTAACACAACCCCTCAAACAAAATCCATCAAATTCATGGGGTGAGTTCAGTAAGGCTCTTAGGGACTCGAGTGCTAGTGTATTAATCGTCAACTTCAAATATATTTCAATAATTAGTGATTTCAAATTCCTCCTATCAAAAGGTTTGACTTGTTTGTAAAATTATAAAAGTTTAGGTACTATAGTGTGAGGCAAAACGTATAAAGGTACCAAAATATAATTTTATCACCAAAATTTTCGTACATTTTTGTAAAATTTCCATAGTTTAGGTATCATATTGTAAGAAAAAGTAAAGTTGAGTACCAGAATGTAATATACCAAAATTGTAGTAAGTGACCATAAAAATTCAAAATCTAAATCTAAAATACCATCAAATTGAAAATGAGTATCCAAACAATGAATTTAAATGACATGTATTTCAAATACATTACACTTGAAATACACCTATCCAAACGCATCATAAGATCAATTCCGCTCTTTCTTTCGTATCAATATGAAATCGAGATTACATGGGAAAAGGAATCACTAATCTCTTTACACGTGTGAACTCAAATGTTAAAATAATTGTCTGCCAATACTAACTCGGATAGGCATCTTTCGACTAGCTTTCTTAGTCAATTTATAATACTCGCCAGGAGCATTAATTTCACGATAATTGCCGATTGTCACTACTGCTTTGAATCAGCTCCGAACAAAGTATGTCAATGTACTCCATTATAATAATAGAAAAAGTATGTCAATGTAGTCGGGAAATCATGCGATAGTTAACCTAAGTAGAAGCAAAATTTATCAAATCCTCGTGAAATTAGATGATCAGCTTACCTAGGTGCAAACAGTTGGGCATGAAGCCTTGGGAAAAGAGAGGCCAGAGTCCAAGATGAAAGTAACAAGGGAAGGCGTAGCATGCACGGGAAGGAGGGCATAGATATAATATAACACCGACATTATTAACACACTTCCATTTTTCATTATCCTTTCTTCCTACACAGACAGAGTACAAATGGAATCAGATGGGAAGCATCGATCTACAACAACTTTGAGTCGTCGTTGAAGTTTGCAAAATGGCACTCATGGCTTATTTGCTTATCAATGGTCTCTCTTTCGTCGTTCCAATAATGCCGTGCCGTGCCTTGTACGGCCCAACCCAGGGTGCTCTTCTTTGGACTTGAGACTTTGATTCTCCCGCCATTCGAGGAAACAGATTTCAGCACCGGAAAGTAAAATTCAATCCGCCCAAGAACCCCCGACACCCAATCAAACCACATTGCAGTTCGTGAGCGACCACACTGAGACGATTAGTCTCTGCGCGGCGCGATCGACGGTAACTTTTAAAATTAAAGGGCAAAATTATCCGATTTTTTTTGTAACTACTGGCGGCAAATAGCGATTCATAATAATAAACATCCTAGCACGAGAAATAATTTATACAACATAGGTCTGTTTGTCTATCAGTCTATGTGGTCTCAACTTGTGATTCGAAGAGCTGTGAAGGGCGATGCAGCTGATGACATGGGTGGTATATTACTTGAAGAAGTCAGATTGTTCTAGGGCTCATTATTGACCCTTTCATCGATGGTTCGACGTTAGGTGAACTACTGCATTTTGCTTATTCCAATCTTTGTATTTATGCCTGCCTTTTTACATCTATCTATGATAAATAAATAAAAATATGACACCATCGATGGTTCAACGTTAGGCCAAAAACAACTGCACATCCTTCATTGAAACTTTCGCTCTTAAACACAACAATTGAAACCGAACTGTTCCCGGGAAGAGGGGAGAAAAAATCTGATGCAGGTTAGAATCTTAGAATCAATGACTGCTTGAATTGCTCTACTCTGCTTTACAAAAACTAAGCTGAAATGCTGCTAGCTAGCTCTGTCACTATTCTACATGTGATGACATGGCAGAACACTCGAGCTTCCACCGAAGAAGCTAACTTGCTTGTATAAACTACATTCAACAATTCGAGTTATCGGAATTCAGCCCTTATCGTGAGAGCAAAGAATGTGAGGTGTCTACAAATGAATCGAGGGTGTTTTCTTCCTAGTATTTGAACAAGCAATGGCGTTATATACTTACGTTTTCTGTTTCAGGCATCAAGGAGTGGGTTAGAAGAGAAGAGCCGCCTTTGTTCAGGAGTCGGATTCATTGCCCATCTACAGAAAATCCAAGCCGAACCAACTACTGATGTCATCGAGAGCAAGGCCAGCGTGCATAATGGGCAGCGTCGTTCGCTACTATTGCTACTCCAAGCATTAACGAATCTGCCAAGCTCGCGACCAATGCCTCAGTTATCCCTATCAGGTTTGCTTTCGATGATGGGAGCCCTGCCTGGAGAATTTGTGCCCCTGCGACTACAATCGACATGTATCCCAACCTTGATAGTGCCTGGAAACATACAACTTGGTTCAATCTTCAAGGGATGATATTTAGCTTCTACTGAAACAATATCCCTAGTTCTGTCACTAACCCGAATCTGTCAGGTTAGATGCAATGACTGAACTGAAAAGCTGACAATATGCAAACTAAGTAAATTTATTATGCAACAGTCATTCCATCTCATCTAGTGTTAGCTTATTTGAGTCAACATGTCAAATATGATAGTTATGTCACTAAAATTTCCTTATCAACACCCTACGCTACACATCCATCGATCAAACCCTTTTCACCGCAACCACGCAAAACTGACTCCCAACCAACATACAGACCACGATTTGAGATCCAACTCAATCTTGACACTTGCAATTTTGTAATGAAACAGTTACTCGGTCAAATCTGGACACAATGTGTCAAAGCTCACTATGCCACCAAAATTGTCTGCTCAGAACCTCATTCAACCACACATACAAACTGACTCACATGTGGGAGCAACAAAAACACAAACTCGAGATCCAAATGACTCTGGACTTGGGAAGGGTTTAGTTTAACGAGCATGTGGGGTGGTGATTGGGTGATTTTGGTGACAAGGTGAATCTACTTTGCTTGCCAACTCACATGAACTGATGCGAGAACAGACGGAATACAACAAGATGAAGGTTTTCTTCCCAATTCACTAATTTCAGCTAGAATTGTTAGTTCGGGGACCATTTTGTTACAAACCCGTACTTCAGAGACCATTTAGACATTTGACACCCAATAAACTACTACAAACATATGGTTGGAAGAACTCACAATTAAGCCCAAGAAGAAAATGATAGGACTCTGGTGGGAGAGAGATCCACTCCAATAAACTGTAACAGCCATGAGAAGGAATGAAGCCTGGACTATGAATCCAAAAGCTAAAGCCTGGGGACAAAAGCAGTGCCAAAGTAAGGTTAGAACTCAATATTGGTCTCTGAACATTACATGTACTCATTAACCAAGTCTGGAGAGCAGAAAGATTGCTTTACCTTTAAAATGCCGAGTCTCTTGACTGATATGATCTCACCTAGATCAATTCGTAGTCTCCAATTGATGGCCAAAGAATCCAACTCATTCCCTTTAACTCTGAAATTTTGCCAGGTGTTACTACAGTTTCAGGTAGGTCCCTTTGCGAGCTCGTTCCTTACAAATGGCTTGATGGAAATGGGTAATTGGAGGCTTGTTTGGAAGATGGGATAACCCTCTACAACGGGACACGTTTGGATGCTCAAAAGAAATCTAGGAAGATCGATTTTCGAGCTGCTCAAAACGCTATGCTGACACTGGAAAACTGCCCAGAATTCTAAGTCTGGAAGACAGCTTGAGTACCCGACTTTGGACACTAATTCGAGAAGGGTAAATGGAAACTGGCCCAAGCGTGCGATACTACATGAAACTATAAGATTCCTACTACAACCTAGAGGCATTGGATGATTGAAATGGAGATTGGAAACCTTCGAATGAAAGCCTGCAAGATCGTTCGAAGACCAACTGAAGCTGTCTTGCAAATTCAGCAGTCTGAGTCCTCTGCGTTTGATTTCATAGTTTGATTCTATTTAGGACTTTCATATTGAGTTGTTAGCTAGCCTAAGTCTATTTAAGAACGTTCCATTGCATTGCAATAGGTATAATCGATTAAGTTGAATAAAACGTGAGTTTTGGTTAATTAGCTTTTGCTTGTGGATTGTTGAGTTGCTTGGTGTGTTCCGAGCAGCGTGAAAGCTTGTATCGATCAATTCAACACCTTGATCGTGGCCAAGCATCGACCTATCTATTTCGAGCCTTTCTCCGCTTGAAGAATTGCACGAAATTGACCGTTTTCATCATTATAATCATCCATAGTTTGCTGAGTTGGAATTGAGTCAAGCTCAATTCGTTTGCTGCGTGATTCTGAATAAGAGTAGCTCTAGCATTCGGAATAAATGGCAATCGATATGGGTAGCTCGCGACAACTATGGTGAATACCTAGCTGATAAGAGTCGCTCTAGCACTCTGGAGATTCTCAACAGAGTAATTAGGGCAAATTCCGCGTAGGAAACTCGGCAATTGCCTCTGAAATTCAATAATAATCGTCTAAGGGCAAACCAACGTGTTCAACCCTTTAAATAGGCAAAGTACAACCCAAATCCGACTCCAACATGGAAAAACCAAACATAAACCGATTTTAAAACATGGAAACTCGGAAACAGCCCAGCAAACACGTTAAGCCCAAACCGTTAAGCCTGGACCCGTTAAGTAAACCCGTTAAGGCTGGACCCGTTAAGCAAACCCGTTAAGGCTGCTTCTTGCAATCTGCCTTCTGTTTAGCACTTCCTCCTTCTTCCTCCACTCGAATCATCATATATGGCTTCCCTCGAAATAGCTCCACGTCCATGGCTCCAAAGTAGGCTCTCCAAATATGTTGCAATCTTCTCCTTCAACGTCCTTGCCTTAGCACGTATGACTGGCCCATTGATGTCCTCATCAGTGATTATTGATGGAGTCTCCGCCAAAAGATTACGAAGAACTAGCATTGTCAAGAACCCCACTTGATAACTTGTTTGTTAAATATGTGAGCCCGATCTGAGAATAGCATCAACAATTATCAAAATAATTATACCACTGGACTCAAGAATTGATCCAGGAATTTTATAAAAGTTAATTAGTACCATCACTGCAGTGAACCAATCATCAAAGTATAAGAAAATTTCAGGCACATCACTGGACCATACTTGGAAAGAAGAACCCCAAACATTGACGTGCCTGCTATCTGCAAATGCCCACTTCAAATTAAGCTATCAACCTTCATCCAAAACCCATATGCTACAAATCCAGGGAATACCTCTGCAAGCAAGTCGATCCTACTAAGAACAGCATTTGCTTGTGCAAGTGCAATGGGCCTACTTATCCCAGCTAACTGCTCATAGGAGGAAATTGATTGATGTTGTGAGCTATTAGCTATAACAAAGATTGCAAGAAAATAGGTATAATGGAGCGTAAAATTTGAAAAGAGTGACTAACCTGCACAACCCAATCACGTTCATTAGCAATTCCCAATGCTAGCCCACATAGCTTTTCAATACTTGCAGCCAAAACCAGCACAACAAACCATGGACCGAGGAAGTTATAGCCACCGTGTGAGCATGAATTCTCATCATAGCAGACAGTACCTGAGCAGCTGCCTGAAGGAAACCGAAAAATGACCTGTTTGGATAAATCCGACTGTTTATGGAGAAAAATTAGTTAGAAAGCATCGCCAACAACATGGTTCGTAATAAGTGTGAGAACCTTAGCAAATAAACCCATGACCGCCACTGGTAGAAGGCTCGGAAAAAGCAGAGCGATAGTAGAAGGCCAAGTAAACTCCCATAACCGTTCCACAACGTTCCCAGTCACTACATTGGCATAAAATGCTGGAGACAAAACAACCACATCTTAGAAACCCACTAGATGAGTTTAGAAATCTTGAAAAGATAACCCTTGCCTTATATATCAGTTCCTCTGAACACCACCAAATAACATCATTTCTAGGCAAGATTTAGTAGCTTCTACTAGTATAAGAACTTCCAGGTTCTACCCTTGATTTCCAAATAAATTGTTTTATATTTGATTTTGGTACGAAAACCATGTATTTCAAACCTTTATAACTCGACACTACATGATATCGTCTATTAAGAAACAACTCCAAAGATAGCAGCAATACATCAAACTTCTGTTCTGAGTACCGTATAATCCATCCGGCTGCTAGAGCATTCTGATCTTCCTCGGATTAAACCTAAGACTTCACTGAAAGCAGTAGCAATAAATGATGATGTAGCAATCAACAATGACACTCAACTTGGTAGATGAGCATAAATGAAGATAAGATAGCAACATACAGACCATACCAACAAAAGTCCATCCGCATAAGTTGTTTCCACCAACAATCCAAAGCTTGGAGTCTCGAGAATCTCACTATTGTGCTGTACAACTGGGGCCAAGAAATCTCCCTGAATCGAAGAACCCTCGCTGAGGAAGAACTTATCATCAGACACCACATGGTTGAACTGGACATCAGAATTCACATTCGAACACCTAGAATGAAACTTCCTAATCCTGGAAATCAAATTTCAGCTTCTACAATCAATTCAATCCCTAATTTGAACTTGGTAAGTGTTAGCGAACTAACCACTTGGCCCCAATAACTTGAGTTGTTAAGAAAAGGGATAGTTAAGCCTTTTAACCTCTTATACGCCCCCTCAAACAAAAGTTGATGACGAATTGTGAATTTTTTTACGATTTGCACAGGTTGAACCCTTGTGCTGCCAAACCACGAGGCTTTAGTTTGCACAGGTTGGACATACCATCCCTTGTGCTAAACAAATGGCTGAAAATAGGGGTCATCATGAGGATTCGAAACCATGACCTTTCGGTTCTAGTCTCTGATACATAGTTAGCGAACTAACCACTTGGCCCCAATAACTCGAGTTGTTGGAAAATGGATAGTTAATGTAACATCCCAGACCTTTTCACGACGAAGATATTGTCTGCTTTGGGCTTCGACCCTCACGGTTTTCGACTTGGGGTGTAATTCAAGGTGCCTTCCCATAAGGTCACCCATCCTTGCTGTACTCCTCACCAAGCACGTTTTAACTTCGGAGTTCTCACAAGAACTCTTCCATTTCACCCCAAAACGCGTCTTGTCAGTTAAGCTCGGTTTCCTAGTTATGAACCATGGATCTCTCCCGTGCTTTGTCGATGTGAGATTCGCCTAAGGTGTTATAGTTAAACCTTTTGACCTCTTATAGTAAGAAAAAACATGGGTAATTTTAAACTACAAACTACCAATTAATTACCTGCACGAAGCAGGAGAAGAGAAACTAGGAGTCAGCCAACGGCGAGCATCGACGCGATAGCGAATTCGATGCGGCGGCGATGATACAACCGCCGCACCGTTGGCGGCGGAGAGGAGGCGGACATTGGGAGCGAGGAATTCTAGGAGAGCGAATCGGACCATAGCCAGACCAAGAAGAGCTGGAGCTCCTTCAACCTCAGCAAATACGCCAGGCAGAATAACTGTAGTGACAGAGTTCCTGCTAACTCATGCAGCCAGAGGGAAATTGGAATCGGTAACCTTATCCTCTTCAGCAGCAGAGCTCATGTGCAGAGGACGAAACTCGAATGTTGGAGCAAGGGAGGAAGGGTTCGGAGCTCTTCAATAACCGGAGGACAGAAATGGCTGCGGCGGCAACGGTGGGAGCCGTTAAATGGAGGGACAGTAGTGTATCATTTTGAGATTGGGGTGTGTATCATCAAAATTGTAGGGTAACGAATTTTTGGGTTGAATTGCGTGTTATTGGAAAACACACCGTCTGAATCAATTTCCACCCATATCAATCAAACAATCACAATGTAAAACGTGATTATCCTTGTTTAGCATCTTTATCTTTAATCTTTGCATGCTATAGGATGCATATGCAAACTGTTCAAATGGTTTTCATGTTAGGGTGTAGATACAATGGTGTAATTAATTAATTAAGATGTGGGTACGCCTAGTGTTACAGTAATCACTATAGTAGTTGCAGAAGCAATAGTCATGCGGCAACTTGGATGCATAAATATCATTACCGTGACCAATTTATACCACAAATATGTTTTCTTAATTCTAATATATATTCTAATACAAGTTGTGAAAATAACGAATACACATAAAATTTGGTTTTTGAATTCGAATCTACATTACAACATGTATGTATAATATGTGTTCGACAACTTTGCTAGACATAAAAGCTCCACTTGCATAGAGATTTTACAGATTTATCATATACTTGGATTCCTCATTCCACAAACTCATGCTCACCGAGTTAATTATGTACTATTAATGAAATAAGTCTTTTTTATCTCGATCATTGAATGATCATCGAAGGACAGTAAGCTGAGCACCTTAATTGAGTTGGTAGAATCTTAGCCGTTGGGGATAGAAAGATATTGTTGCCATGGTTTATTAAACTATTCTCGAATGATCATATTTTTTAGGATGGATATATGATTTCGATAATGGTTGGTGAATAATGTTCATTCTTCATTCTAATCACCGGTAAATACGTCATTTTCCGGATGGTTTTTTTGTTCGTGTGGAGGTGGTACTTTCAGATGAAATCAAAGTACAATATAGTAATGTGTACAATAATTTGAACTAATAATAAATAGTAAACTCAAATCTTTAAAAAAAAATACTTAACACTTCATCCCAAATTTCCTATACATACAAAATCTTTCAATTACAATTAGTTTTTCGAAAGATTTTAAAATGATCATCATAAATCGACACATAATGAGTTACAATTTTAGAATTGAATCATTATAAGTTAGTACTCGTGGTCTTGAACTCTTGATGAGTATTGACTCTGTAAAATGTTAACGGTCGATTTCTTATTAATTTTCGAGTTTTAACCAAAATCATACAGATATCAAACAAGTAAACAAAGGCAGCCCATTCTCTCGATCAGATCCATATCATCATGTCTCAAACTTATCATGGTTCAAAGTTCAAACACACAAACACACTTTAATTTGAATGGAGAGATTATTAATTAGGAGGTGGGTTGGCTGGCAATCCAACCATCTTGGTCCACAAACACCTCCTTGGAGAACTGCCTCAAGAGGGAAGGATCACGCGGGTCCAACTTCTTCTCCCATGGAACTCGCTTCGATTTGTCTGCTCCCGGTCCTCTACAGTCCGCCTCCACGTACACGAAATTTTGCCTATATCGAAACACATATGCTTTGTTGAAATTTACATTACATTACATGCATGATAAAGAAGGGTATAGAAGTACAAGTAGTGCATTATTATGTGTCACTCACTCTTGGCCGGCGTAATGCCAAGCGTCCCATCCACGAGGGTCGACGGCGGCGGACAGATAGGTGGACTGAAAGATGACCCTCGAGTACTTCCGGTAAGCTCGCCCAAGGAGAGTGTGGACGCCGGGGGCGCCGTCTTCCACCCGGCCGCCGGAGAACACAAACCCGCTCGGGTCGTTACCGTTCTCCCTGCCTTGCGCCGTGATGAACCCTCCTCCCGTCACTTTTATCTCTGCGTTCTGCGTGCAGATGTAGGGATGACAATTTCGACATTATTCGTTTTATTCGATTTGCTTATATAGGTGGGATGGGTATGGATATATAGTCTACTTTATTTGACCCGCTCTATTTTTTATCAACTTTTGCCCAAATCACATGTAATTTTACTCAAATTATTTATAATTTGACTTTTATTATCTTATATTTTAGCTAGAATAAAATGGTGAATGGGAAAAACCTCAATTTCTCCAATAATTTAACTACAAATAGTTTGTTAATAAATTTGTAATGAAAATTTTTATATTTTATATGTTTTGTGTTTAAATTACATACTCATATAGGTTAACATACCCTGACCCACGTCGTGTAATAAATTACCTGATCTAAAACTAATTTACCACGAGAGCAGCTGTATAGATATTGAGATATCCACCCGACTTGCTCTTCCCATGAGTAGTATATGTGTCACCACTTGACAAATTTAACGAGTCGGTCCAACTCGTGACTCGTGACGAGTTTACCATAGATATATCATGAGAAACATGCACCAACGAAGTTGACAACATGATAAAATAACTAAATAAGAGGACATGATTGATGAAATTATTACTCCTATAACGATTAGGAGTTATCGTATAGTGCCATTTTAAGAAAATCGTATTTTTAATAGAGACATTATTTGACAATGATATTTATTTCTTTTTCAATTTTTATTGAAGCAAATGCATTATTTACCCGGGATGTTTCGTTCTATTCTTTTCTTTTTAAGTAATTGGAGATGTTAGTGATAGTTGTTGTTAATGAAAGAATTTGAGAAAAATTAATTTAATGATAATCCTGATTGATCAGCTGGATGATCTAACAACAGTCTATAATTAATAAAGCTTCTTAGCAGGTTTTCCATAAAAAAAAACACATTTTTTCCTTGTTAAATACTTGTAAATGAGATATGTTTTATTATAATTATAGTAATTGGGACAGCTATATTTTCATTAAAAAAAACTCCTTCATATTTACCAAAAATAGTATATATAGTTATTATTTGTTTTGCACCATGTCTCTTTCTTTCGTTGAATTTGGGCCACATCATTGAGGATATAAAATGTATTTTCATGTATATATTAAAAAAAGGCGACATGATTTGATAGATGTGCTGTTATTATTTTAAATTAACACATTACATTACACGCAAGGTTTTTACTACTGTAGATTTTAATTATTGATGATTGATTATCAGCAGATGTAGTTCAGATTTATTAAGTAAAGTGAAATGATATATGATTATTGGTGGGGAAGGATTTCATATGGACGGTTGGAATTAATATAAAACTTGAACAGATGTAATTGGAGTTCATTTTGACGTAGATTAGATTATATTTCCATGCTCCAGTTCGTATCCTTTTTTAATTTGATGGAAATTCTTGAGAATACAAAAGGAATTGAATTTATGTTGAAATCAAATCAAATTATATGCAAATTTAACTTAAAACTGACAATGAGACAGATTTTGATAATTCATAGATCACCGTATGAAGTGTGAGTGGAGGTTATTACTGTCGATGAGTTAAGAGTTAACAAAAAGTGACTAACCGAGCTTTTTTTTTTGTCTTTCAACGAAAACGAATCCAATGAAACGAGGAAATTCATACAAATTTGTCTTCCCTTGGTGAAATTCCTTATTGTTCTCCCCTAAGTTGATCTAGCTGAGCCACTACTTTGGATGCAAGAAAGAAAATGAGAGGGAATATCGTGACATTTCGTAGTGGAATTGAGTGGCAAAAGCAGAGTTTTCAATATTTGTATGAGTTATTAAGGACACACTTAATCACTATGCATGTATATATTGTACTTCCCACTAGTAACAAAATCGAATGATTTTTTACCCTCAAGAGAAACCAAAATGGAAGTATGCAAACTTATTTGTTAAAAGACAAAGCGTGTAGACATTTTTGTCAAAATTTACATTTTTGTCAAAATTATATAATAGAAAGATTACGATTTCTGCAGAAATTTCGCATACTAAATGCACATTTCCGGCTAAAGAAAATTACATCAAGTACGAACGAATTCTCAACCAAATCAAAAGACAATTCAAAGTTTTTTGACGCAACTTAACGAGCGTCCACGATACCTGTTATTTAATGAATTTGAGACACCCTAAAACGTACATGGCTAGCTATTAATTCATGAAAGGTTAGACAAAAATGTAAAGTAGAAGTGCAACTGTGGAAGACGTGTACCTCGTAGAAAGATTGGCCTCTCCCGAAAATGAAATCGACGGCTCCTTCGACGTAGCAATTGGAGAAGTAATGGCGGCCGGCGGCGTCCCATAATGTGTCTTGGACGCCGACGAACCCGCAGTCGTAGAAGGCCGATTTGTCGCCGTAGACTCTAGCGGCTAGGGCCGGCACTACCCCGGCCCGATATAGGGCAATGAGCTTCCGGTTAACTGGGCCTGATACTGGGCTGTAGATTTTGGGTATACTCATTCCGAGGTTATAAGAATTCTGCAAGCCCATGGATAGGTGTTGATGGTCAAAATTTAGTATTTATTAACATTTACACCAGCTATTTTTCACGTGACTTTTATTTTTTTTAAGTTTAAGACTCATTAAAAATCAATGAATTTTCTCACCAAAAAATATAAAAAATCAATGAATTTAAAAATAAGCGTTGCTCGCTAGGATTCAAACACACAATCTATTTGATAAAAAAAACACTCTATAAGGTTTAGATTTAATATAGAGTAAAGTTTCTAACGGCCAAAACAAATTATATTTGATGATATTGATTACAAAACTAATAAGATAAAATTTTTCGGTTTTATTATTTAGGCAAAATACACTTGCATAGTCAAAACTTTGACGATTGTGACAATAATAGCCATTTTTGGCGAAATACCATATATAGGCAGAATTTTGAATGTTTGATGACAAATATAGCCATTTCCGTCACATTCTTTAACGGTGTTAGTGACACCGTTAGTGGAATAAACAGAATGCTGACTTGACTGCCTTCTCAGCTTCTCCTTCGTTTACACCTCAGACTTTAGTGACAGGTAGGACGACACGTCATTAAAAAAAATAAAAAAGAAAAAAAACTAAATTGGCACCCTATTGGGGACCCGAGCCTCATTCTCCCTCCTTTTTTCACTTCCCCCATTTCATCTAGGGTTTCAGAACCCATCACCGCCGCCTCCTTTGAACCGCCGCCGCTGATTAAAGCCGTCCCCGACTCCGTCGTCCGCGCCACACCCACCTCTTGTATTACCCAGTCGTTTCACTCATCTACATCGCCCCGGGCTCTAACCCTGAACATGCTCGTCGCTGCCAAGTACTAGTGGCGGAAGTCGAGAGTCAGCGAATCGAGGAGCTCATCTCCCAGACCCTAGACCTCTGCATCATCGAGCAAGTCCCCTCTGCTAACTGTCAATTCCCGGTGGCAGCTTTGAAAATTGTCCAAATTTGGTGGTTTTGTTCAGCCCCTGGTTATTCCCAAATCCTAGATCTCGATCGAACCCAGATCTCCGCCCGCCCTTCGCTCCAACTTCATCCCATCAGATCGCCGATTTTTCCACACCAATCATCGCCCGAGCCCTTGCCCTCTGCTGTTGCTTGACGACAGCGCGACGGTGAGGAGCAAATCATCTCCTTGATAATGTATTGAAAATCGTCGGCTGGGTTATCATGTTGGGTAATTTTACGGTGATCTGAATCCTCCCTAACGAGGTGACATAGTGGCTGGGCAAGAATCGACAAATCGATTGTTAGAAACCCCTAATTTTGACTCCAAATCTTCGACTGCGGCGAGGGGAGATGGCGTCGCTTCCCGCCGCTACTTGATTTCTTACAGATCTGCTGGGGAAGCTCGATCTGGAGCGACGGCGGCTGTAGACGACGATTTGACTTTCTTCTTCTCCTTTCTTCTGCCCAACGATGGCTAGGGACAGCGAGCGGTTGCTGGTGGCCTCGACAATTCGGAGCTTTTGTCACTGTGGAGAGGAACGGCAACGATCTGGTGGTGATGACTAATGGCGGTGATGGGGTAGGAGGAGAGGACGATGGGATTCCATCTCTGAAGCGGCGGCCGAGGGTACTGGGAAGGGAAGGGGAAAGAAGAGAGAGTAGATAAAAAATAAATAAATAATTTTTTATTATTTATTTTGGTTAATTCCACCTAAGCCGCCACATCAGTTTTTCTGTTAGTCCATTCAGCATGTTAGTTAACACCGTTAAAGAATTGGACGGAAGTGGCTATAAGTGGTATTTCGTCAAATTTGACTATTATTAGCAAAAACGCAAAATTTTTGGCTGTACAAGTGTATTTTGCCTATTATTTATTATACCAAGATTGAGAATATCGTGTCATTAAACGTGCTTATCGACTAATAACCTGGAAGGTGATTCCCTTGCCAATAACGTTTGGAGGGTAAGAAGAGAAAGTTGCACTTTTATCTGTTTGACTGTGACCATTGTATGTAATGATCGTCGTTTTTCTGCCTTCACCTTCTAGAAATATACATGGTTTGTCATGTGGAATTCTCACTTGTTCCCTGCATATATGAAGACCAAACCTTTATGCAAAATATCTTAGCATGACATAAATAATATGGATGTTGATCCTAAAGCACCAATATGAACTATAGTTCATAGTTTTCATCTCCATGGGGATGAAAATATACAATGCTCTTATACTTTTATGAAATAACTTAAAAACAATCGGATCAACCATTATCAATGTTAATAGATTCATAATATATATGAATACCGATGATAAATAATCAATAAATTTGAAAATATATTTTATAGTTGAATGATTTGATTGATTTCTAAGGCTATACTAGTTAAAACATTTGCTAAATTTTGCATAAAGGTGTTAGCCCCATCTCCCAATTATAACGGTTCAACCCAGCCCCATTCATTCAAATTCCTAGCTCCACCACTATTTTTACGTATAAACTTATAACGGTTCAACCCAGCCCCCACTCATTCAAATTCCTAGCTCCACCACTATTTCTACGTATGAACCAAAAAAGTAGAGGAGAAAGAGTACGGATAATTACACGTAGGTACCCGACTGAAGATGGATTTTGGTCCATCGATTGTTGTTAGAAGGGATGGAATTAATGGCGTCTTGCACGGTCTTGAAGCCTTCCATTCCCACAAATCTATAATTCGCACCACCCCACGACGGCGGCTTGTCGCCGCAGTCAAGCGCTACGACGGCATCTTTCACAACCGAAGTTGATGAAAGTACGAAAACGGTCGCTAAAAGTATCATAATGGTGGCCATATGTCAGGGAGAAGAATGGAGAGGTACTGGGCTAGATAGATTATCTAAAGAGTTGCAATTTCCAATTGTCTAGAGATTTTCTCCACTAACCTTTCCATTAATTAGGGACTATAGGCTTGATAGAAACTGGTTAGTTAGACTAGACATGCATAAATTTCACTTTAACTAGCTAACCATGATTAATTGGGATGGAGTTTAACGTCATGATGTGTTTTGCAATTGAACATGTCGATGGACAATCCCAGTTTGGCTATATAGAAAGCATGTGGATGATTTACCAAAATAGGAAACGGACGTGGATGTGTTCGTGGGATTGTTAGTAGTATACATGTACCTCTATCAACAATTCGAGTTATTGAGACCAGTTGGTTTATTACATGGTACCAGAGTCTGACTTGTTTTTGAGATCACGTGTTCAAGTCCTTACGACCCAATATTAGTTGTTGTCTTAAAGCGCACAGTATGGCGAGCCAGTGCAAATTTCAAACTGTTGAGTTGGTTTTCGTGAGATGGGACGTGTAAGGAAATAGTTAAGTACGTACCTATGTACCTTTTTCAATAACTCGAGCTATTAGACCAGTTGGTTTATGACGATGAAGAGAAAGAGGAAAGAGTTAATTACTTGAGTTTTTTTTTTACAAGGGAGTAATCTTTATTGCACTTTTAATTGATTGGTTATAAAGAAGAATAGTACAAACCAACAATTTGGATCCATCAAAAGGATAGAACACCAGCTCAATCGGTTGAAACAAACCGTGCTTAAGCAATGCATCCAATGAAACACGAAACTCAGAGTGAAAACAACCACCCGAAAGACGCAAACACTTGAACCAAAAACAGAACATCAAGAATCCTTATTCCTTCTTGCTGTCAATCGATCAGAGTGGAATAAGATAACGGTCAGCTTGTCCGATCAAATCGAACTACATGACTGATGAGCACATCAAAGCCATGTGCCGCCTCCTAGAGATGCCTCGAAGACATCCATCACACTGAATCTCAGATTCGAGACTACTTGGCGGTGGAGACTGGAGACGGAAATAAATCATATTGCTCCAAACTAATAAGCCATAGGGAGTCGAGGAAGAGAGATCCTGTTCAAAGGGGAGCAACGATCCTGATGGAGCCACAAATCTCCACAAAGGTACCGATTTCCACCTCAACAGCCAGAGAAGACCCAACCCTTCATGATCCGACGGCCATCCAAGCAACATCGACATCCTTTGGGGGGCTGGAGTGGGAAAGCAGAGAATGGCTTCACCAAAGAGATGAGACCACCAAACTTGGAAAGCAAACCATCACCCTCATCTGAATGAGGCTACCAAACTCCTACCTCTGGACCCCATTTGAGCAAGCCCAGAACAGTGAACCATAGATATGAGCGAAGAGCAAAAGTTTGAGTGGAGATGGAAATGAAAGGCCACAACGGCTAGTTTAGAAAGCGACAACTGAAAATACAATCGAAAAAATTAGCAAAAAGGCAAAAAAAAAAAACCAAAATCATGAAAAAAACTAATGGACAAACAAAAGAAGGAGGACTTGGGCCACCGCCGGTCACCAACATGAGAAGCTACCGGACTCGCAAATCATATTATTCATCATTGGCAAATTTGAATGATCCAGTATATAGGTGAGTTACAAGAGAAATTCCAGCAAAAATGGAACCTGCTGTTACACTATCATGCTCATTTTTTCATTAAATTTCAAAGGAAGTATTTGGGCCTTCATAATCCAAGATTAAAACCCATATGCTAGAGCCCCAACTAAGTTTTTAGTAAGCTCCTTAAGCCTGTTGTAATGTTGTTAAACCTTGTGGTCATAAAAAAGTTTCCCGCTCTCTTATCGAAGGAAAAATTATGACATTTTTTATCAAAAGAAAATTATGACATTAATTAAAAAGAATACAATTTAGGTTTTTTACCTAAAATGTTATATTTTGAAAAATAATTTGTCAACATGGTGTTCAGATAGTATTTCTAAATCAATGGTTCTTTTACACTAAACGAGATGCACGCGTCTTAATTGAGTTTCCTGACGAAAAAATTCAAATTTGAAGCTACGAAAAGGTGGATCAAGATGGAACAAGCACAATTGAGTAGCAGAGTAGTGTGAAGTAATTGGGAGAGATCTGATTTGGAGAAGCACAATTGAGAAGCACCCCCAGGTTATTGCCGACAATGTGAAGTTTGAGAGACCTAATTTGATGCGAGTGTTGTCTGCGAAATAGAGAAGCAAAATAGTTGTCTTCCACAAAAACGGGATACATTTCATTTGGGATGGTTAAAGGAGACACAATGTCATCACCATCAATATATTCGGAAATCAATCAATTTGTATTACTAGTTTTATAACAACAATTGCATTATGATTATATTGACAAATCATGCAAGAACAAAGGAAAACTAGAATGGAATCCAAATCATGGAGAGAATTTGCCAATTAACAATATTTTTTTCTTACTACGTGAAAGGGTACCTTCAAGGGAGGGTAAATCCAAAATTGGGATCTCACTCGAATGAGTTTAGCACTTTAACTATTTAGACTAACAAGGAGATAAATGTAGTGAGGGAGGGTACAGTGAATAGTTACGTTCCACAAACTATTTTATTATACTTGATCTACACCTCATTACATTAGGAAAAATTAATATTAACACTATGTTTCCGAAGGAAGGGAGGTGAAGGAAAATTAGGAGGTGAGGGGAGGGGAGGGGAGATTTGGAGGTGAAGGAAATTGAGAGGAAAATGTTGTTTTATGGAGGAAACTGGGAAGAAAATAGTGTGTTGGGAATTGTGATGGATATGTTATTTTATTAGGTATATAATAGTGAAATAATTTGAGTATATGTTGATATTATTTTCATTGCTTATGAATTGTGAATTAAATTTGTAGTTTTTTGTTTATGAATGTGTGATGTAAAATAACGTTATGCGTGATGTAAAACAATTTTGTGTTACGTTATTGATTAAACAGTATTATATTTAGTCTCCTCATTTTTATTATGTATATCTTGGCTAGTATTTTTTTATACAATTTTTCTATTATTAGACATCAAAGTTAATCATTTATCATAAAAATTTCAACAAAACAAAAACAAGAAAGAAGAACGAAAAAGAGAAAAGAAAGTAGAATAACTAATAAATTAAAGAAACAAAGAAAAGAGAGGGGAAGTGGGCCACGCAGAGAGGAATATAGTTTTCTCTCCAATTTGGGAGGATTGGTTGTACAGTACATTCTCTTTGCATTTTCCCTCCTTCCCTGCTTTCCTTCCATCTCGCAAACAGGGGAAAAACATCGATTTTTGTGCTTTCCATCCTCCTTTTTCCCTCCCTCCCTTTTCCCTCCTTAAGAAACACAGGGTAAGGAACTTCCACCTCATTATAGCCGGCTAAAGTATACACTTAGAAGTTGGAATATGAGACCTAATATTGAGCCCCATAATGGAACTCGAATCAGAATTCACAGCTTGAATCAAAAGGCGTCATGGTGGTGATGAATTTGTAGTAAACAAAGGCTTGTAATTCGATGGAAAACTAGGTAACCAAGTAAGCAACCTTAACACAAAGGGAAGGAGGCTAACTAGGGTCAAACTATCAATCAACTAAGGGGAATACTTGGGTCGATTGATCTGCAATCCTTGGTCAAACAACCAAGAATTAAAACCGAGCTTCTCAAGCTTGGGGTAACTCCACGAGGGATTTTTTATTAAACTTCAATATGCCTTTACACTGATTCGAGCAAGGTTTTCATAGCCACAAGAACAATCAATTAACCTACTTAAACAAGGAAACATCCTAGAACATATTTGGTAAAGGAAATCAACTCTAATAAGGATTCTTCTAACGCAAGTAATCCGACTTGCACAATGAATCATGTCTTCCTGTCCACGTCTCACAACCTTCTTCCAGTCCAACTTCGAACTTGTAGGAAATGACCTTCTAGGTCGAGTCGAATTCAGCCAACTCCTTCTCGAGGCTTAGAAAGTTGTCCTCTTTCACCTCCAACTGGTTGTACCTCAAGCTCCTCGAATAAGGTCCCAAAGTTGCCTCCTCGAACAGATCTCCTGCCTTAACCAAAATCTGACAATTTCCATAATGCAAGATGGGTTTTTTATGGCATTGTAAAGCAACCCTTATGGCTTCCTTTCCACAATCCAAGGACACTAAGTTGTAGAGGAACAACCAAGGTCCAAAACAAGATCCTAACCTTGCATTTTTATGGAACAATTTGAGTGAAACAATCCCCCAAAGTAGCCTATCCAGAACTGTCTCAACACTTAGGAAATTTTCATCATTGTTCGTATTAACTTGATATGATCTTTGAGCGATTCGTTTGAGCTGGTACGATGGTGGAATTGAGTTCATATCAGGCCCCCCTTCTTTAAAAAGCTTTGACCTCAAAGCTTGGATCAACCTGCAATCAAAACGATATAGAAGATCGTCACAAAGAGGACCACGAAAATTTAGAGTCAAAACTTCCTTTTCCGGCGAGTCCCAATTTGCCGGCGAACCCTTGGAAATTGGGGCTTTTTGCTCAATGACTTTTTGGACTAATTCCTTGCGTGCATTCTGTTGCCCTAGCTCCCACGAAGCGAATGCAGTTACTCTAGCCACCTTGAATCATCTCGAATCTTTCCCACCACCGGAGAATTCAAAATTCCTAGTTTCCGGGACGAGTTTCCAAAATCCAACGAGCCAACTTGAAAATTGGGTGTTTTGTTTTCACGCGTCGCCGAGCTGGTTTTTCGCTTCCTACACCTTTCTTGAGACCCTGGGAGTGGATCCTAGTGTTGGATTGTGTCGATTCATGCTCAAACTCCACAACCGACTCATCCACTTTCTCGTCATCGTTCGACGTTGTTGGAA